TATCAATGTGCTTGCACACATTTCACTAACAATCAAGCAAAAGTGGTCCATTTACCACCTGACTTGGTCCAAATTAGGATTAAATTGATGATCAATTAATCTTAGAAGGGGCAGTGTTGTATTTTGTGGAGGAGCAGCAGCAAAAGTGGCAAATAAATGGAGTAAAGACAGGAGATTAGTAGAATGAGCAGAAATGAGCTGATCAATGTGCTTGCACACATTTCACTAACAATCAAGCAAAAGTGGTCCATTTACCACCTGACTTGGTCCAAATTAGGATTAAATTGATGATCAATTAATCTTAGAAGGGGCAGTGTTGTATTTTGTGGAGGAGCAGCAGCAAAAGTGGCAAATAAATGGAGTAAAGACAGGAGATTAGTAGAATGAGCAGAAATGAGCTGAGCTGAACAGCAGCTGGATTGCAAATGGCTGGATTTATAGTGTTGGTATAAAAATAAAACTGGCTGTAGTTTAGAGCTGTCACAGGCATGGAGACAGAAATTGGAGCATATTTGACATCACCCTTCTACAAATAGAAAAGGCAGAGCCAAGTTTCAGGTAATACCCCTTGTTTGACTAACTGCTTATCAAACCAGTTTATGCGATAAAAATGGTCTGGGGCCAGAGGTTTGGGGATGCAGTGAAAGGGCAAAATAAATGTTTTGATACCTCTGTCCATTACTCTGGCAAGGCTTTGTATGTTACACAAACAAACTTTGTACACAGCAAATGAGTATGGAAAAATTCTTGACTCTTACAGTGACTGTGACACACAATGTAAAAATTTCACCAAGAATTCAGGAAATGTACACACAAAATGTCAGGCTTCTGTGAAATATTTCAAGTTAAAAAGCTAAAGGTAACCTTGTTTACAACTACATGAAGTCTTATTTCAGTTTTCATCTGTGTAAAATACATCTCAATATCCGGGTCTACCCAAGTGATACATTGCAAAGAATGAATGCCATCTCCTACCCTTTCGAGTTTGAGGGGAAACAATAGGGAATCTTTTTTTACGCGTCGAACCAAAGTTGTAGTTATTTTTGAGGTCATTTCGGTGCTGATCTTTGCACTATAATATACCTTATGGAGCTTTGTAGCCACTTTTTCTGAATGAAATATTAACCCTGAACTTGTATACTAAAATGAATGCATTTATTCTGGTCATACAGGATACCCCATCACAGATACATACTATTACTGCTTAATTGCAACTGTCCTTTATATTTTTCTTGTGTATTACACTTTAAATCACTCCTGTGTTTCAACTGAAGTTCTGTCTTATACTGAAGGCAGTATATCTGGTGACTTCATTTCCACTTACCATATACTATGGCTGTACTTCAGAAGAATTTGAAAAATGCGGTAGCATTTTAAGGTGGTTGCGTGCAAACCTGTTGTAATGTATGCTGATTTTTTTTTTACTTTGACTACACAAAGAACTAGAATTTCTATCTTGTGACTAAAGTTACTATTTTGTTTTATAAAGGGTGAGTACTTTTCTTTGTTCTTGGTGTCTACCCAAGTTCTCTTTATAGAAGACTATAAAAAGTAGGCTTACTTTTACCAAAAGGAAGAAAAGTAACTCCTAAAATGGAGGTTTAGATTCCTAATTAGAGAGAAATGGTCACAGAGCTGACAATATTTCTTAAAACAGTGTGCCTTGCAATGTATAGGGCTTTTTGGTGATAAATGTTTATTTGCAGAGCTGTTACAGGTATGCAGGATATTGTGTAGCTGAAATAAGATTAACCATAGGGTTTCAAGTGGGTACCAGGTGACATTTAAAAAACAAGAGGAAATTTTAAGGAACAGTCTATTGTAGAATAAAGGCTTATTACACATATGCAAGTATATATGTGTAATATAGAAGTTATGTCTAGATACATGCAGTACACAAGTATAGCTATGTTAAGAAGTAATCTGTGTTGGTTCCTTTACCATATATAAAGATGCTGGTTTAGTATCCATTTCAATCTCTTTTGGAAAAAATGTCCAACCCAGAATCTTTTCTCTAGACAGACTAAGTGTGAAGGAAGAAGATAGGTATAAAGTATCATATGAGTATTTTTGTGTAGAGTTCTGCTAAACTTTTTTAAAATGTGATTAAGGGGTAGTATTGGTCCATTATGAAATCTCAGTTTCATTTTGAAAGCAAGCTATTGATGTAATTGAGCATCTCCCCAAGCTACCTATTCAGCAGAAATGGCTTCATGACATCTAGAGGATGGATCTAGTACAGGAAATGTTTCCAAATCAAAACTTCTTAATAGCATTGAACATCAGTATCCCAATCTCAGAATGATAAATGGAATATTATATTAGACAATTCTGATTACTGGACAAAGTGCAGTGGAAAATTTGTCACAGAAGTCTCATATTTCAGGTTTTATGTGTATCCCTTTTTTGAAAGCAGAATATTTCAGGTTCTGCTTCTGAAATTTACAATTAGTACAGAAATAGAAATAGGTAGATAAATACAGGTGTAATTCTTAAGTATCCAGGTATGAGAAAAGTGGGCAAACAATCAAGTTAAATTTAGTTCTAAACTAGGCCAGAACATGTAGTCCTTTCCCGTTTGATAAAAGTAAGCAAACTTGAAAAACAGTCAGTTTGAAATTTAGTGTGCATAGAGATGTGAATGTGAAAATGTAATGTGAAAGCATAAGTAGTGACAAACACTGTGCCTTTTGTTATAGCTAAAAATTAAAATAACTTAAAATGCTGTGTTTAGTGATGCAAGTTGTTTAACTTACACGATTTGGTAAGTGAATCAACATAAACTGAGTTTAATCGTCCTTCTTTCCTCCTGCTCCTCAAGGGAGTTTGCTGTCCTTACAAAAAATAAAAAATCATCTGTCTCACAGGTTAATTAAAATCAACTTTTTTTGGAATCTAAAAATAGCAAAGCAAATAACACTGCCTGGAATTAAATCAAGTAATCTTGATCAAACAATTAACTCATCCTCTATTAAATCAATATTTGCTGATGCTAATACTGGAGCTAGTTCCAGTAGTTGGAATTACAGCCACTGATTTAGTGTCTTTATTAGTAGTAATTAGGCTGCTGTCTTTCCCCAGTACTACTTCCCAAAGCTAATACTCGGCTGCCTTGTAGGAACTGTCCTAGATGATACCTACAGTACACATTGCACATGCTCTTAAAGCTTCTCTAAGGCTGAAGGCCCTCTCTGATGGTGTGACTCTGTGGGGCTTGAAAAGAGTTCAGGTGCATGTTGCCACAGCCCAACTTAAATCAACTGTTGTGGTGCCACAGTTAAGGCTGTTTCTAGCAAAACAATTTTAATGATGTAAACTCTAACAAAAGAAGGGAGAGTTCCTGCTTTTGCAATATCAGTGTATTATCTTTGGAATTTTTCTCAAGATACTACTGCCATGGTGCTTTTGTGGCGGCTTCAGTTCACAGAAGGTTCTTGTCACCCCAGTACTATTCTGTCCCTCCTCAGCAGCACTTCTAGAAGGGCACTTAACTGTGACAAATTAGGAATTAATTTGCTCTGATGTGCTAACGTGACCATGAGGTGCTCTACTAGACCTTTATTTATTCTCTTTGCATTTGTATAATACAATCTTTGTGTCTTAGATCTGATTATGTTCTTTTGGCTGTTAGGTTCTTAAGCAGTCTTATATAGGCTGATCTGATGCTTATTCTTGTTTGGGGAAGGATTTTCTTTGGCACATGCTCAGGTTTGCAGCAGTATCTCTCAGTATTTTGGTCCTGCGTTAGCTGATCAGAAATTACTTCATTATTCCTAGGACCCTGAGGATGTTTTGGTTGAGATCTAGCATTATGTAATCCAACATACACCTAATGAACATACATAACTAAGTGGGAGATGCAACAGCAGAACCGCAGTAACAACAAATAATAAAGTTTGATAATGGTTTTACAATGTAAATGTAAAAATTACTGTAGGGCATCAGACCAGACTACATTAATATTCCCTTCTGGCCTTCAAAATGTTCTGTATTACTCTTGAATCTATGCTTATTAGTAAAAAGCATCCAGCTCCCAAGTATGGATCCGCTATTAAGATTAAAAGATGTATTCTTTTCCCTTTGAAAGACAGGCCATAAAGAAAATTGCTATAATGTAAATTATGGAACTGTTACTTTTTTCTATAACCCCTAAACTAGCATCAAGGTAAATGGAGAAAATACTCAAAGGAGCACAGAACTGAGGCTATGGTGTAATTTGGGAATTTTCCTTTTAATTATTTTGTACTAAAACTAGTATAGGAAATAACTACATTTCATGCCATTAAATGCATTATCAGGGGAAAAAGAAAAAAGGTCTGGGATCACAGTTTGTGAACCTGAAAGTGCTGTTTCTTTTCATTTACATGTGATAACTTTTTTCAGAGTTACTACTGAGAAGTCTATCATTATTCATCTCATAATGCAGGTGCAGTGGTGTTAATTAGTAGTGAATAGGAAAGATCCCATGAATAACAGCCAATAAAAGTCACTTGCAAAACTATCAGAACCTGGATGATGTTGAGAAAGTCTGGTAAATGCTGATCTAGAAGCTGATAACAGTGTTGTCTTTGCAGACATCTTAATATTGTTTGCTTTGTCTGACTATGATGTGAGGACTTCATTGAGATAGCTCGCTTTCTTCTCTGTACTACTGTCCCTATTAGCAGTCATCCAGATATACAAGGCAGCTCTTCTGTTTCTGTTACGTATTTGAAACAAATTACCACTATACAGCTTTTTTAGAATATTCTATACAGATAAGCCCACACAGAATCTCAGAAAATATTTTCAATCTAAATTTTTCTCACAAGAATCATTTTATGTTATAGATAAATGTAGCATTCCCTAGATGCAGATTTTGCAGTGGTTAAGAACATTTTTTTATAAAACTGCGTATTATCTTACAGGGCTGCAGCTCTCAGAGTTTTTTATCAATAGGGTAGCTTTTTACTGTAATAGAACCAGATTAACACAATCACTTTGTTTAATTACAGATTGGCAAAAGAAAAAGTTATGTATGAAAAAGAAGCAAAACAGCAAGAAGAAAAGATTGAAAAAATGAAAGCTGAAGCATGTGACGATTATGGGATTAAGAAGCAGGTAAACTATCCTAAAAAATATTTTATAAAATCCTCCTCTGCTTTCATTTAATCATTGTTTTACTTAAGCATGAATATCGCCTGTATCTTTTTCCAGACTCATTATATAAATACTAGACTAAAATCCTGTCTATTATAGAAGTCATAATAAGCATTTGTAGAAACTTCCTTTACTCCATAACTGTTGTAAGAAGACTGCATATGGATTACTTGGCACTTGCTGTCAGGATGGCTGTTGGTCACTAACAGTGTGTCTCAGGCTATCACAAACTCCTTCTCAGAAGCACCAAGAACCTGAAAATACATGGTCTGGATGCTTTTAGGTAAACAAAGTGTTTGCTGGTAAGTGCCAGTATTACAGTAAAGGGAGAATGCTTGATAGTTAATATGAAGGTGAAACTAGTGTCCTTTGGTAAAACCACAGACCGCAAAGAGTGAGCAGTGGATATGCAGCTGCTCCTAGCAGCTGCTTAAGTTTGCAGGGGAGTCACTGGCTAACAAGGTACATGCTGTAGATTCATGTGCTGAAGAGTATGGTTGAGTGTCACTATTTCGGTATGATCAAATTTTCCTGGGAAGGTTTCCTACAAAGGACAGTGGTTGAAGACAGTTGGTACATGCCCTTTTGGAAGGAGGTGTTGTGTCATGTTTCCTTCTCACTGAAGGAGAGAAGGTTTGGGAGATTTGTGTTTATTCTTTACGCAAGTGTGACATGTCTGTGTTTAACCATGGACTTTACATTATCTTTTATCTTTTTAACTACTTTTTTTCCCCAAACATTTCCCTGATGTTTTCTCTTAAACTTTCACAGAAACTGAAACTATAAATTAAAATCATATTCACTTGTTTCAGTTTCCTGGTGACCTTGTGTTATAAAACCTAACCTACTGTTACCTTCATTTTTAAACAATGGAAGAATAGTGAAGCAAAACTCAAATATAAAAGATAACAAAAATGCAGTAAGAGAAAGCCCTTTTAGAACAAGCTAAACCAACTTTTTTAGTAAGCTCAGGTTTCAGTTCACATGTGTATGTCCTGCCTTGCTTTCATTATGCCATGGGAAAGTAACACAATTAAAGAATTTGCATACAAATAAAAAAAAGTATTTGTAGAGCTGAAATATCTTCTGCCTCACCATGGAGTAAGATGGTAAGATCCTACAAAACAGTAGTCTTTCTGATAACTAGCAAGAACTAGTGAAGGCAATTCCCATTTTTAGTGCCCCCCATTCATCAGATTATTTGACTGCACTGTGGTATTTCCACAGTGACCTGCAAGGTACCATCAGAGTCAAAAACAGCGGGGGCTGCGAGCTTCTGCTGCGAGATGAAATGTTACGCACTACTTGAAGGTGTTCTCAGAGGCCAGCGAGAAAAACCTTCACAGAGAATGGTCTTGATTGATTCAGAAATTGCCTGGTCCACTTTGAAAACAGTCAGTTTCTCCAGTGACATCTTCACTTCTTGTTTGAGTGCGCTTTGCATTCTGGAAACTGCTGATATTTTAGGTTATGAAGAACGTGGAGGTTCAGAAAGAATGCACACACTTTCCATAGGATCAGATCTGCTACTCTGAAGAAAATCATGTCATACCAGGAGAGCTTGCACAGAACTCTATTTTGGATAGAGTTAATACTTTGAAATATCCATCATTGCACACTGTAAGAATTGCTTTTAATAATTCCTAATCTGAATAACTGTTTACTTAAAAACATGGTTGTGGTCTTTATTTCAGTAATTAAAAGTAACATTTGGGGTATGGTAATGAATTCAGTCATTTGAGACTAGAAGAGTAATTTTAACTATTACCACTTTGCTATTATCGGGGTTTTTTGCCTACAAAAGGCAGATGAGAAGTTTAGAATTTAGGGGAAAGATTGTAACAATTTCTGTGAGCCATATTGGCAGAAAAAAACACAGTAAATCTAAGAGCAGTGTTTGGGGGTAAAAAAATGCTATGAAAGAAGAATGTTTATCACAGTGTCTCCAACCATGAGACTTGTAGGGA